GTATTAAATGAGAATATTAATATAACAGGCATCACAGAAACTTGGTGAAATCATGATAATCAATAGGATATGGTAATACGAGGGTACAAAACATATAAGAATGACAGAGTAGGGCAGGTTGGTGTGGGAGTGGCACTGTATGTGAAAGAAACTATAATCAAATATAATAAAAATCTTAAATTAATCAAACTGCACCGTAGAAGCTCTCTGGATAGAAACTCCATGCTTGAATAATAAGAGTAGAGCAGTAGAAATACGACCAGCCACCTGACCAGGATGGTGATGGTGGTTGGGAAAGGCTCAGGGAGATTAGAAAAGCTACAAAAACAGAAACCCTAATAATAATGGGGGACTTCAAGTATCCCCATATTGACAGGGAACATGTCACCTCAGGACGGAATGCAGAGATAAAATTTCTAGACACCATTTATGACTGCTTCTTAGAGCAGCTAGTCCAGGAACCCATAAGCGGAGAGGCAATTCTTGATTTAGTCCTAAGTGGAGCATAGGATCTGGTCCAAGAAGTGAATACAGCTAAACTGCTTGTAATAGCAACCATAAAGTAATTAAATTTAACATCCTTGGTGGGGGGGGGGATACCAAAGAAACCCACCACATTAGCATTTAAATTCAAAAAGGGGAACTACACAAAAATGAGGAGGCTAGTTAAATGGAAATTAAAAGCAACAGTCACAAGAATGAAATGCCTGCAAACTGCATGGAAACTATTTAAAAACATGATAATAGAACCTCTCACTAAATGTATACCCCATATCGAAAAAGAAAGAAAGGGGACCAAAAAATGCCACCGTGGCTTAACAACAGAGTAAAAGAAGCTGTTAAAGGCAAAACGGCATCTTTTTAAAATTGGAAGTCAGATCCTACTGAAGAAAAAAGAAAGACGCATATACTCTGGTGAGTCAAGTGTACAAATATAATTAAGCTCTTCAAAAAGAATTTGAAGAGCAAATAGCAAAAGACAAATATTAACAGCAATTTTTTAAAGTAAATCAGAAGCAGGAAGCCTGTCAAGCAATCAGTTGGGCCTCTAGACAATCAAGGCGCTAAAGGAGCACTCAAGGAAGACAAGGCCATTGCAAAGAAGCTAAATGAATTATTTGCATCAGTCTTCATTGCAGAGAATGTGAGGGAGATTCCCACACCTGAGCCCTTCTTTTTAGATGACAAATCTGAGTAACTTCAGCAGATTGAGTTGTCACTTGAGGAGATTTTGGAACAAATTGATTAATTAAACTGTAATAAGTCACCAGGACCACCAGATGGTATCACCCAAGAGTTCTGAAGGATGACCACCAGATGGTATCACCCAAGAGTTCTGAAGGATCTCAAATATTAAATTGCAGAACTACTAACTGTGGTATGGAACCTATTACTTAAATTAACCTCTGTACCAGGTGACTAGAGGGTAGCTAAGGTAATGTCAATTTAAAAAAAAAAACAATGAGGAGTCCGGTGGCACCTTAAAGACTAACAGATTTATTTTGCCATAAGCTTTCGTGGGTAAAAAAACCTCACTTTGAAGTGAAGTGAAATGAAGAAGTGGGTTTTTTTACCCACGAAAGCTTATGCCCAAATAAATCTGTTAAGGTGCCACCAGACTCCTCATTGTTTTTGTGGATACAGACTAAGACGGCTACCCCTCTAATTTTTTTTAAAGGCTCCAGAGGCAATCCTGGCAATTGCAGGCCAGTGAGCCTAACTTCAATACCAGTTACATTGGCTGAAACTAGAGTAAAGAACAGAATTATCAGACACCTAGATGAACACAATATGCTGGGGAAGAGTCAACATGGTTTTTGTAAAGGGAAATCCTGCCTCACTAAGCTATTAGAATATTTGAGGGTATCAACAAGATGGACAAGGGTGATCCAATTTATATAGTGTACTTGTGCTTTCAGAAAGCCTTTGACAAGGTCCCACACCAAAGACTCCGGAATAAGAGGAAAGGAAGGAAACAAAGTGTAGGAATACATGGTCAGTTTTCACAATAGAGAGAGGTAAAGAGGGGGGTTTCCCAAGGATCTGTACTGGGACCAGTGCTGGTCAACAGACAGTATTCATAAATGATCTGGAAAAGGAGGTGAACAGTGAGGTGGCAAAATTTCAGATGATACAAAATTACTCATGATAATTAAGACCAAAGCAGACTGCAAAGAGTTGCAAAAGGATCTCACTAAAGTGGGTGACTGGGCAACAAAAATGGCAGCTGAAATTCAATGTTGCTAAATGCAAAGTAACGCACATTGGAAAACAACATCCCAACTATACAGACAAAGCGATGGGGTCTAAATTAGCTGTTACCACTCAAGAAAGAGCTCTTGGTGTCGTCATGGCTAGTTCTCTGACAATATTTGTTCATATGCAGCAGCAGTCAAAAAAGCGAACAGAATGTTAGGAACTATTAGGAAAGGGATGGATAAGAAGACAGAAAATATCATCATGCCACTTTATAAATCCCTGGTACACCCGCATCTTGAATACTGAGTGCAATTCTGGTCACCCCATCTCAAAACATATATTAAGAAATGGAAAAGGTGCAGAGAAGGGCAACAAAAGTGATTAAGGGGCTGGAACAGCTTCCATATGAGGAAAGATTAGAAAGACTGGGACTGTTCAGTTTAGGGGTTGTCTACACTTGAACTGCTACCGCGGCCAGCTGTACCCCTGTAGCACTTCAGTTTGGACCCTCACTGTAGTGACAGGAGGGATTCACCAGTCGGCGTAGTTAATCCATGTCCCCGTAGGTGACAGCTCGTTGGAAGAATTCTTCTGTCAACCTGGTACTGTCTACCTGGGGGTCAGGTCGCCTTAACTACATCTCTTAGAAGTGTGAATTTTTCACACTCTTGAGTGGCACAGCTGGGTCAACTTAACTTTTGAATGTAGACTTGGCCTTAGGGTAGGTCTACACTTACCTGGTAGTTCGGCGGCTGGCGATCGAACTTCTGGGTTCGACTTACCGCGTCTTGTCTGGACGCAATAAGTCGAACCCGGAAGTGCTCGCCGTCGACTGCGGTACTCCAGCTAGACGAGAGGAGTACCGCAGAGTCGACGGGGGAGCCTGCCTGCTGCGTGTGGACTGAGGTAAGTTCGAACTAAGGTACTTCGAACTTCAGCTACGTTATTCACGTAGCTGAAGTTGCGTACCTTAGTTCGAATTAGGGGGTTAGTGTAGACCTGGCCTTAGTCAAGAGACTATTGAGGGGGGATATGATAGAGGTGTATAAAATAATGGCAGGTGTGGAGAAAGTGTTATGTGAAGGAATAAATAACACCAGCGTGGACACCCGATGAAACTAAATAGGCAGCAGGTTTACAACGAACATAAGGAAGTGTTTCTTTATACACCGCACAGCACAGTCAGCTTGTGGAACTCATTGCTAGTGGATGTAGTGAAGGCCAAAAGTATAACAGGGTTAAAAAAACCAATTAGATATGTTTATGGAGGATAGGTCCATCAATGGCTATTAACCAAGATGGGCAGGGGCGCAACCCCAAGCTCTGGATGTCCCTAAGCCTCTGACTACCAGAAGCTGGGACTGGACAATAGGGGATGGATTACTCAATAGTTACCCTGTTCTATCCGTTCCCTCTGAAGCATTTGGCACTGGCCGCTGTCAGAGACAGGATTCCAGGCTGGATGGACCATTGGTCTGACCTAGTCTGGCCATTCGCACCCCTGAGAGACATCGTTAAGCTGATTTAAGCCCCAGTGTAGACAGTGCGAGGTCAAGGGAAGAATGTGTCCATCGACCCAGCTACCACCTCTCAGACAGGTGGATTTACTACAGCGATGGAAGAATGCCTCCTGCCACTGTAGTGTCTATGCTACAACAGCGCAACTGCAGCTGTGTCCTCGGAGTGATTCTAATGTAACCATCCCCTTTGTTTTGTGAAAGTACCTCCAGCCTCTGTCCTCCGTTGCCACCCACTGGCCGACTGCAGCAGGACCCACACATTTCCCCCTATCTGAGATCCTGCCAAGGAGCAAGTTGGAGCCCTGCTCCCACCCGCGGAGGCAATGAAGAAGGGCAGCGCATCTTCATGGTGCCCTAGTTTGGAGTCCCAGTCCCTCAGTGCAGGTATTAAATACCCATGAATGATGATTTTGGAAAAGCTTCTTTGGAACTGACAAATGTGAGAATATTAGTGAAAAGGTTCCTGCTCTTGGGGACCCCAGCGCAGCCATCGGGGTGTTTGCTTGGCATCTTGGAAAGCAGGAACTGAGGCATGTTGCCAGCTCCTGTGATGTTATTGCACATCTCATAATTTTTGATATTTCTCTGAAAGCCCCAGCTCCTCATGTGATTACACAAGAACCTCAGCTTTCAGTTAGCGTCTGGGCCTCAAATCTTTGAGAGGAGCTTAAAACTGTGAACCCTAAAGACTCAAATCTTCAGAAAGCAAATTCCAAAAACCCAGTGTTCCTTTTTTAAAGTCTCCCTGGTTTGGGGAGGGTCCTGACTTTGGGTTTTGACTGGGGTGAGGGTTGGTAAAGGGTGTGCTGGGACCCCCAGATGTTGGTCAGTCAGTCGGTCCATCCATCCAGTGGACTCAAAGCACTTCACAAACTTTAATAAATTTGGCTCACTGCATCACCCCGGGGGCAGGTGAGTAGTGTTGTCCCTTTTCCCCAGGCATGGGGGGAGCCTGCACCATAGGGCAGGCACTTGGTTCCTGCAAGGACAGGCCCTGCCTCAGGTACTAGGTGCTTGCTTTCCCTTAAAATCTCTCTCTGCCCCTGGTGCAGCCCCACCCACAGGGCAGCAAGCACTAGTGCAAACGAGCTGTGCACGGGGATGCTGCTGCAGGCCAGAGATGGGGAGCAAAACCTTCAGCCCTGCAGGAGCTGCACAGCTCATCCCCTGCCCCCCATCCCTCCTCTCTGCCCCTCTCCTCTCTATACCCCCGCCCACACCCCATCCCCTGCCCCTCCCATTCTCTCCAGAGCCCTCCCGCGCTCGCCCCGCCCCCGGCAGCCCCGCCCCCCGCCTTTCGCTTTTAGCCGGGCCGGGCCCTGCGCGGCCGCCGTACCGGGGCGAGGCGGGCCGGGGGCGGCGGGGCCATGGGGAACCTGTTCGGCCGCAAGCGGCGGAGCCGCGTCACGGAGCAGGACAAGGCCGTGCTGGTGAGGGGGGGTCCGGGGGGAGCCTGTCAGAGCCCGGGCGGGAGGCCCCGGTCTCGGCCCCGGCCTGGGCAGGTCCCTGCGCGGGGCCGCCTGGGCCCGGGACGGGACCCGCCGGGGGCGCCGCACCTGGGGGCGGCTACTGCGCCTTGTCCGGGTTTAACTACAGCCGGTGGCAGCTTGTCTCCCGGCCGGGCCCCGACGCTGCAATCGCCGGTCTGTGCCTGCACCCCCGGGACCCCCCGAATGCACCCCCGGGGCCGCAGTGGGGCACCAGGCCGGGTCCACCCCATACATCTCCCTCTATTTACCCTTGGGGCGCCAGGCCGGGCCCCCACAGTGCTCTCTCCTAAATAAACCCCTGGGGGCTGCAGTGGGGTGCCAGGCTGGGCCCCCCCAATACACCCCCCAATACACCCCTGGGACCGCAGTAGGGCACCAGGCCCCTCCCAAATACACCCACGGGGCATCAGGCCCCCACAGGGGCAGCCCTGGGGACTGCAGTGGGGCACCAGGCAGTGCTCCCCCACTGAGGTAATTTGCACAATCGGGGCCTTAGCATTGAAGTAGGATCACCAGAGTTACCTACGATTCTCCATCTTGATCCACACATCATTATGCTTGGATCAAGATGGTGCATTGTGTGCTGGGTCCTGGGACCTTCAGGGACTATTACATGTATGTTAAGAGGGACATGTATGTAGCTGCTCTCTTCTGTTTTTCCTACCACGTGTACAATGTACAGGAAACTCCGGCTCACGCTGAGGACACCTGTGTGTGTCTGACTGTCCGGGAACATCCTGACAGCACTTACTTGTGTAACATTCCGGAAGAACATAGTTTCCGCTGGCTGCCAAAGGGGTAAAAAAAAATCCACAAAGCTCTATAGGTGTTTCTGTCTTGGGAGCCACTGTTGCAAACATTTTTCCTTTTGAGGAGCATGAAGTCACAAAGCAAGGAGGAGACAACAGTTTGAGGGTTAACTTTTGGCATTTAATCACTTTAGCTGCCTGCTGTGCTGTTGTCTTCTAGGAACTAGCCACTGAAACGATTAGAAAATCAGGACTTCTCTGGACAGATGTAATGGGCAGTGGGTGTGCCTGACCTGGACCGTTAAACAGCAGTTGTACAGTTAAGCTTCCAAGGCTTGTCTTTTAACTGAATGCTGTTTTTATTCCTTTTCTCCATTAGCAACTGAAACAGCAGCGGGATAAACTGAAGCAGTATCAGAAACGGATCACTCTGAATCTGGAAAGAGAGAGATCTGTAGCCCGGCAGCTGCTGAGAGATGGCAAGAAAGAGTAAGTGAGGCACTGCAGCGTCTGATCAGTGTCGGAATGTGATGGCCGGAGATGGCAGAGAAGACCGTGTCTTTGCGATACAAAAGGATCTTTGTTGTTTCAAACATCTGGAGTAAAGTTACCAGGAAATGTTATTGAAACATAGAATAGAAATGAGTTCATGGGATACGTACGTCAGGCTTCTTTCTATAGACGAAGCGAGGTTAAAAAGGAGGATTCAGAGTGAGCCTGTGTGCTGAGCTTGGAAGGCCTTTGCCTGAGTCTCCGAGAGGGTTTGCAAAAATAGACTGTGGTCATCCTCTTCAATCTGCTAATGCTATAATTTGATTTGTGTGGGCACTTGGGTGCACCAGTCCCTGCTAGGACCTGTAGTTCCCATGGGCTAAAGTAGTGATTTCCTTTTTCTACAAATTACACGGGTTCTGCAGGCTCCAGACATGTTAACAACACAGTCCAGGGTTTGGCAAAATTGGGTATCACTGGCCAGAAATACCTCTTTTCACTGAGCTTTACTGCTGGCTTGCTCTGCAGAGGAAAATTCTTAACCAAAACATGGGCTGGAATAGATTTCACGGCAATCTCTCTGTCCTTTAAGAAACAAAGGTTGTGTTTGTTTTTTTTACTGACAAGATTACAAAATTAATTCTTTGGCTTAAATCCTTCAAAACAATTTATGCAAAAAATCAATTTGGGAAGCATGGCTCAGCTTGTGTTTAATTATAAAGCCATGACACTTATCCAGATTCATCTGCCTGTGGCAAGAATTCCAGGCAGGCTTTGGAGAGCAGAATCTGTAGTCTGGACAGAAGGAATTGGTGCCTTTGGGCTGTGGTCCCAACTAGAACTTCCTAACTTCCATATCCATATCATCAACAGTGCCAAGTCACTGCAGAGGGCTGACTATGACCCGATTTCAAGTGATGTTGTTGCCTTAAATTTGCCCTTTAGATTTACATTTTATAAAGACAGTCTTTTATAGAAACTCGCATCAGTAGAAATATGAACACAATTTAAAACAATCCAATGGAAATGATATTTTGAGTGCCTAGCTCAATGCGGCCTTGACCTGAGTTCTCTGGTTGCTACCATAATACAAATAAACAGTCCTCTGCAGTGTTTGAAACCCAGACATTGCACTACTAAGATCCCCCAAGGGAAACTATCTTAATTATTTTCTTTGTCCAAACTGGGAGAGATGCTAAAAATAAACAGCACGATCAGTGACTTGTGAGTAGTTTTTGAGAATTCTTTCATTGTTAATAATCAGGGGTATTTTGGATAACTGGTAAAGGAACTGGCATACAGCATGCATATTTTATTTATTGATTATATATACACTTGTATGTATTGTGATAGCATTCAAAGGCCCCAATCAGGATCAGAGCCCAGTTGTGGTTTTTTTGGTACTCTCCCAAAGAGTGTGCAACCCAATCTAATGTGCTGTTTAGTTAACAACGTCCTTTTGAGTTGTATTTTAGAACAGCAATACACGTGTCTCCTTTCATTGTGCTTTTCTCGTCAGTCGGTTGGCCATTAGGCTCACATCTTAGGATGCTTCCTCCCAGCCCTGAAGTGTTTTAGAATTCCCAGAAATGCTCAGTAAATCTTCATGCTTAATCATAACATAGCTATGCACACAGTACAAGTCTAATTGATCAGTGAACACTCCCTAACAGAGCTGATACTCTCCCTGGTGGCTCTGTCTGGAATTTGTTGGTCCCATCTCATTAGGCCTAATAACAAACCAAAGAGACGTTCTCCAGAGCAAAATACATGTGAAGAGGTCTGCCCGGCTTCCAGTGATGACCTGAAATACTGTTTTTTTCTGAAAAAATCTGGGGTCACGTGTAAATTCCTGCTAATCTGTTTGGGCCTGGAGTAGGTAAGGAAACCCCCTCAAACAGATTAGCGGGAATTTACACGTGACCCCAGACTTTTTCAGGGGAGGGATGGGTAGAAAGTGTTAGTTATTGATCAGGAGTGAAGGCAACAGCCAGGCCTGCTGGGCCCTCCCCACCCCACCCCACCCCATGACAACTATGGCTTCTCCACAAGGCTTCTCCTGGGACAGATTGCTTTTCACTTTAAAACAACATTTTAATGCCAAAGATTTACCAAATCCAAGGCAGGAAACACTGGATAGAAAGTGAATGGCAGGAGCAGATGGTGCCCAGCTGGCAGACCAGCGACAGCCATGGTGGGAGAAAGGCACAGGGGAAAGAGCTGGGGATCTGAGCAATGGAAGGACAGAAAAAACAGTATTTCAGGTCATCACTGAGTGCTGCTTCTGGGTGGTGCATGTGAAGACCGCTAAAGTCTCTGTTGTGTGGATATGAATTTAATGTGATCCATGTTAATCCTCTGTAAGTTGCACCATCCTCTTCCCCATTAGTGAAAGACGTGGACTTCAGAGCACGCAACAATTTGAATTGATGCCAGAAACGTTACACCGTATTTAGTTATGTTTTCTGGCTCTGCAGATGACTAACCACTCATTCCAATTCGCCATTAGGTTTTCTCCCCACTCCAATGCTATGGAATTACCACAGAACTATCTATTGGTCACTGGCTTAATCTTTCCTTAAAAGAAATCTCTTGACTAAATGTTTGACTGATCTGCGCCTTTTTATTACCTCCTTCCTGATGGGAGTTGTTCCGCCGTTGCACTTGCCGTGTACGTTTGACAGGAACACCTCAGAAAAGCTGTAATGTAGCATTGGTGGGATCTGTTCAGTCTCCCTTGTTTGAGATTTCTTTCTGCTCTTTTATTCCTTCAGAAAAGCCAAGTCATTGCTAAAGAAGAAGCGCTACCAAGAGCAGCTGCTAGATAAAACAGAAAACCAAATCAGCAACCTGGAACGCATGGTATGAATCCCAGGAACCAACGAATCCCAGGGAAGGGCTTATTGTGCGCAGCTGTTCAGGGTGCTGGCTCCATTTTGCCTGTGTGTAATTACAGCTAACTGCCCTAACAGTCATGGCACTTAGTGCTAGGCTAGTAGTACAAACATTTCATGGAACTGGCTACACCGTGATTATCTCCTAACCTAGTTAGGAACTAGGTCCACTTTGTAATGTAGACGGGGCCGTAACCCTGTGCCTCGTCAGTAAGTAAAGCCGTGGTCTGGTGCAGCAATGGAAGCCTCCCCTCCATTTTAAAGAGACGGTTTCTGGAAGTGGGTGGAGTTCAGCTTCAGGGCCAATTTAGACTTAGGCCTCTGCTAAGATTGCCAACAAGGGAGCCAGCTACTGCCCACTTCAGTGGTGGTGTCGATGCAGCCACCTGAGCTAAGGAATTCATTTCGCACAGGCCCTGGAACAGCAATCAGATGGTTACTGCTGCTCGTTATTACTGACCTGGGGTGGATTTGAACCAATAACCGCTAAGTAAAAGGCTCCATATTCCAGCTGCCTGAGCCGCCTGGTCTGTTTCTGTACTGCCCATTGATGGGGGGGTGAGTGCTCTCGACTCAGCTGTGACTCCTGTTCTTACCCTAGGTCCAGGATATTGAATTCACCCAGATTGAAATGAAGGTGATTGAAGGCCTGAAAATTGGCAATGAATGTCTGAATAAAATGCATGAGGTAAGGGTGACCCAGAGAGCTCTGGGTGAGGCAGAGTTATGGGTGTTCACATCTGTGCTGCAGCCCTGGTGTGAGGATTTTGGCTTTCTCCTCCTAGGTCATGTCAGTAGAAGAAGTGGAAAGAATAATAGATGAAACCCAAGATGCTGTGGAATATCAAAAGGTACGTCTAGCACACACATGCCGTCCTGAGCAGAGATGACCAATCATGCCGTGGACTCTGCTCCTTGCTGCCAGCTAGGCTGAGATCGCCAAAACGCATTTCAGAGGTGACCAAATTAGGGTTTGAATTTAGGCTTCCCGCAGCAAAAAACCAGAGCAATAACTGTCTGTGTCGTGGGGTCCCCTTATCACATGCCCTGTTTTGTGTATGTGTTCGGTGCTGTAAGCAGCCGAGCTGTCGTGCTTTGGTGTTCATTGGCACATCTATCTCTCTCCCGCACAGCAAATCGATGAAATGTTGGCCGGCAGCTTCACCGAAGAAGATGAAGATGCCATTTTAGAAGAATTAAATGCCATTACTCAGGTGAGCCTTAATTTCTTGCTCTGGTAATTACTTTTAGTCCACATTTCCAAGTGGTAGTCTTTCATCAGGGAAGGGGTTGTTTCCCCTGTAGAGATGGCAGTTGATTTAATTCTGCTGGATATCCTAATTATAGCTGCATGTGTTTGATCTGTGTGTCATCTAAGGAGCCAGCCAGATGCTCTGTACTCAGGAGACACTTAAACCACATTGAATGTTTGTGAGGGTGGTTTTTTATTTACACTGTTATTACAGACCGTAATCCTGGGGATCGGGGCACTGCCTTCACTGGACGGCTGTCCCACTGTACTTGACTAAGACCTTGCCTGTTCCAGACGGGCTTCGCTGTCTCACTTTCACCTCTGTTCTCTATCCCTCTACCCTTCATGGAGTCTTGAGGTTGTCCGGCTTTACCACCGGAAACCTTCCGTCCAGTGGGGCTGTGGTGGCGGGAATCTGCAGCCAGCCCTGCCAGGAGGAAACTCATGGCTAATCTGTGTTCATAATAAACATCATTTTACAAAGCCAGGCCATGCCCTGGTCCGCTGGAGAGCACTGAAACTAGCAGCTCTAAGCAGCGGCGTCTCCTGCAGTTCTGGGGGAAGATGCCTTTTTGCAGGCAGAAGCACCTGTTCATATAGTTTCCAAACCAGCTCAGTGCAGAAGCCTGAAAGGAGCTCTGTGCCAACCCAGCAGCATGTGGGCTGAGCGAGACGTGACATGTTGAATGTGCTTTCAGGAACAGCTCGAGCTCCCTGAAGTTCCCGCTGAGCCACTCCCGGAAAAGACCCCAGGTAGAGTCTCTTTATTTGATCGCACGACTTCCTGCTTCTCCTGCATCTTCTCAGGGGTCTAACGGCAAGTTGGGCCCCTTGTTTGCGGTGGATGTAGCGTTTCT